GCAGCACCGCCACCACCACCAACACCACCACCACCACCACCACAACCACGCACACACGCACGCACGCACGCACGCGCACCACCACCCACTACGCACGCGCGCGCGGAGCCACATGTCCGCTACGACACGCGTCCGCGGATAGAGAAAATCAGCGCCATGGTGAGGGATGGGGGGGAGGGGTAGGACGTCAGATATGACGCGAGCGCACCTAGCTTGTCCCCTCTCCCCCCCGCCTCCTCCTTCTCCTCTTCTCCTCCTCATCCTCCTCCTCGATCCTCCTCCTCTACCCCCCCCATCCTTCGCTTCTCCTCTGCAGGTCTGTTCCGACGGGGCGTGGAGCGATGCTGTGATGGAGGATGTCATGGTGCAGTGCAACCTGGACCCCGCCTCGAGCCCGCTCGTCGCTGCTGAGCGGGTGCCTTATCCTTCTCTCCTTCTCCTTCTCGTGTCTTTACGTTTGCGGGCCACCTACGGGGAGTGGGGGGTATCTGACATGCGGTCGTCTGGCCCCCCCAGCTTTGGAGCCTGAAAGAGCCAGACACAATCGGTATGTATATCGACGCCAGGTATATAATACCTGGACGCAGTTTCTCCCGCTGGTAATTTTTCAGAGTTCTCCTGCTCCCTCCCCCCCTCTTCCCCGCTCCTCCCCTCCTCCCCTCCTCTCCTCCCTCTCACCTTCTGATCCCTCTCCTGTTTCCTCCTCCTCCTCCTCCTCCTCCTCCTCCTCCTCCTCCTCCTCGCCCCTCCTCTTCTCGCCTCGCCTTCCCTCCCTCCCTCCCCCCCTCTCCCTCTCCCCTCCTCCTCCTTCCTCCTTCCTCCTCCTCCTCCCCCTCACCTTCCCGGGCTCCTCTGACCCCCCAGGCCGAGGCCGCGGCCGCCGAGGCGAAGCGGAAGGCCGAGGTGGCCAAGGCCGAGGAGGACAGGGCGGCGCCGGCAGCGGCGCAGGCGGGAGGCGCGCCGAGCGGCGGGCCTGGGAGCGGCAGCGACGTGCTCGTCGCCGTCGAAGCCCCCGCCGCGCTTCCGCTCCCTCCGCTCGCGTGCGGAGCCGAGGTCCAGTGGAAGCTGGCGCAGATCACCGCGTCCATTTCGGACCGCGCCCGCCTCCCCCCCTCCCCTTTCCTCCTGCTCGTCCCCCTCTCCCTCTCCTGCTCCTTAGTCTACCGCTCTTACCGTCCGCCTCCTTGGGCTCCTCCTCTCCCCCTCGGCGGCCCCTCGGCCCCTGGCTTCTCCTCGGCCTCTCCTCTCCTCTCGCAACCCTATGTCTCTATGTCTCGTCCTCCTCCTCGGCTCCTCCGTCCTCCTTCCCCCCTCGCCCGTCCCGAGGATGCGAAGGTCACGTCCGAGTGCGGTGAAGAGCTGGATGTCCGCCAGCTCGTGGCTGATTCCAAGTTCCACGTCAACGGCACGTCGCTCAAGGTGCTCGCCTTGAAGGCCCAGGCGGCCCTCTTCGAGGCGGTGATCGAGTCTGAGGCTACTGCCAGCACGAAAGATCTGATCGCCCTCGTGAGGAGGACTGATGACGGCAAGAAGGTATCGGTTTCATCGGTGGTGGCGCCGCAGCTGCTCACCAATCTCAAGCTCTACTTCGCTGGCGCCATCACCTTCACCGAGACAGTTGGGGCCCACCGCGTCGGCAACATCGCGGGCATCCCGATCTATGTTCACGGGGGTCTCAACTGTCATTTGGCCTCGGAATGCTTCGTGCCCGCCTGGGGCGTGAAACAAGTCGCCAAGCCAGAAGATGCCACGCTCCAGCTTGCGCACGAGGACGCCGATATCATCTGCCCGCCGAAGCTCCTGAAGCAGCCTCTGGCGGCCGGCGCTGAGCCACCGAAGATTCGCATCCGAGTGCCAGTGCTGGTCCCCAAGCCTGGCTTCGTCGGCATGACTGACGTGCAGTTGAAATACTACGTGGCGAAGGCCGGCGGGGAGGCCGACGGCGGCAAGGGCAGCGGGAAGGGCAAGAAGCGCAAGCGCGCGGATGACTCCAGTGACCCGTGCACGTTTTTCGGTGGATGCGCTGCGCTCGCACTGAGCGGCGCGAGTCCGTCTTCAGGTGGCCTGGGCGGCGGCGGGAAGGGCCGTGCGAGAGTCGCGCACCTGCTCAAGTAGGCGCGCTTGCTTGCTCGCCAGGCTCGGCCCCGCCTCCCCGCCGCAGGTCGCCATGCATGGGTGCGTGGGTCTCTGCTCTGCTGGCGAGGGGCGGGAGGGGTGAGAGGAGAGGTGCGTAGAGCAACGGGGGAGTAGAGGGGGCGGTCCTCGCGCGCATTCAAACCTTCCGATGTTTCAGTTTCGAGTTTCGAGGCGCTGGGGCTAGTGCTGCCGGCTAGTGCTAGTGCTGGCTGATCTCTGCCTCGCGACCATGTGGGCAAGGTCTCTTTTGGCAGAGTGCATGCCCCCCCCCCGCGCGCCTCTGCATGCTGGAGCCCCCGCCCCTTAGAGCCCCGTGGAGGGACATGGGGGGGGGGGCGATGTCGTGGAGCTCGCGCATGGCGCAGAGCCATGCGGCCATATGGCCATGTGAACGAATTTGAGTAGATAGGTGAAGCGTGAAATTCCCCCATCCTCTCTCCTCCCTCCCGTCATCCATCTCGTCGTCGTCGGTCGTCCTTCCCCACGGCCCTAGGGCAGCCGCGAGGGTGCGACGGGGGCGGCGCGAAAGCGCGAAAGCGCGAAGATCGCGCTTCGCGGAACGCGGAGCGCGAATATGGTTGCCCTAGTTGCCGTCGTCGCCGCCCGTCGCCGCTGCCGCCGATCCCTCTCGTCGGCGGCACTCTCGGCGTGTCTTCGTCGTTCGTTCGTGATTCGTCATCGTCGTCGGCGGCGGTCGTCGTCGCTGGTCGTCGTCGTCGTCGTCGGTCGTCGTCGTCGGTCGCCGCCGCCGCCGCCGTCGCCGCCGCCGTCGTCGTCGGTCGTCGTCGTCGTCGTCGCCGTCGTCGTCGTCGTCGTCGTCGTCGTCGTCGTCGTCGTCGTCTTGTCGGCGTCACCGCCGCTTTCCGAGGGTCCGAGCGTTTCCTTCGGGTGGAGGGCAAAGGCTGACATCTGAAATGCCGTTTCGACGGGTTTTGAGGCTTGGATCTGCAAAAGGTGAACCACAAGACGGATTGATTGTCGAGGTGAAGCCGCTAAGCCCATATGGATTTCACCCTGAGCCCTTCACCTTAAGAGAATGCTCAAGCTTTCGCCGCCGCCGCGCCGTCGCCGCCGTCGCTGCTGCCGCCGCTTGGCAGCACCCTCGGCGCGCCGGCGGCGGGCCGGCGGCGGCGGGCCCGCGTCGTTGTCGTCGTCGGGCGGAGGAGGAAGGGAGGAGGAGGAGGAGGAGGAGGAGGAGGAGGAGGATCAGGGGGGTCGATGGGGGACCTTCCAATGAATCAGCATGTCGGGGGTCGTCTCAGAATATCGACCGATCCGATATGTGGCATCCATGGGAGGATTATTATTCATATCAGAGTGCGCATATTTGTATTTGTGGGGGCAGCATTATTCATATCCAACCACGCGTGTTTATATTTATTTCGATATGATTATATGGTGGTCGCTATATGAATAATGATCGCATGGAATATGAATAAGGTTGGCGCGCTACGCCTGGCGAGGCTCCCTGTCACGAGGCCGCGGGCCCGACCTCGTGACAGGGGCCTTCGTCACGAGGGCGCGCGGCGTCACCCTCGTGACGAAAAGCTTCACGTTTGCAATGGGAACGTGCCACCCCATCCTTCCCCCTGTGGAGGCAACCTGCTGCGTTGGTGTTGGTGCCCACTTCCAGGCCTCCGAATTTTCAAGCTTGAGGTTCACAGATGGTGAAGAAGTCTCAGGCGGAAAGGCCAAGCTGACCTACCAGCACGCCTGAGGGCGCGACACGGAGGAGCCCTTTTATAAGGACAGGTGATGGAGAAGGAATAACCATGATATGATAAAACGACGGGGGGGCCGAATGTGGTGGGCAACTTGCCCGTCTGTCGTTGAAAGTAAGCTTTTTTTCGGATCTTAATATACTTTAGGCGCCTTCCTATTTCAATGACCGGGTAGTTTCACCGTTTCCTTCCTCTTCAGGGGGCGGGCGGAAACTCAATGTACTTCCCACGCCTTCCTACTCCATATTTCTACCCACTTCTTTCGACCGACGGCTATCGCTCTCGGCAGTTGACCCTTGAGTGGCCAGCGGTTCGCAGCTCCACTCCACGTCCAGACCCCTGGCTGGCACTGAAGGTGGCTGCTCGGGCCCCAGTCCGCCGTGGGACGCGGGTATGCACTCTCAGGGCCTGCAACTCTTGGAAGCCCGCCGCTCCTGGGCCGCAACTCTGCGGGAGTCTCCAGGGGCCCCTTTCAGGGCATGGAGGAGGGGTAGGAGTAGGCGGAGGAGGAGGAGGCGGAGGAGCATGAGGAGGACGAGAAGGAGCAGGAGGAGTACGAGAAGCACGAGGAGGAAGTCGGTGAGGAGAAGCACGCTCCCCAGGCATCGGCCATGCCATTTCCAGCGCTGGCCTTCGGCTGCTTCTGGCAGTCTCCAGCCCTGGCCCTCCTTTTTCCACTCCTCAGGACCTGTCCGCCCTCCGCTTCCAGTGACATTTCCAGCCCCTGCCTGGGGATGCCACATTCCGCTGGCTGCTCGTTTTGGGGACCTCTCCGGGGCCCACCTGACGGATTTGTTCGACTCTAGTTCGACTCTACTTCGATTCAGGTTCGACTGTCGTTCGACGCAGCATCCACGCATGAGTGGAGCGAGTGGCTCCAGGAAGTTCCCCGGAACGAGTCTCTAACCTGCCCCTTCCTCGAAGATGAAAGGGGCACGCTCGTCGAAGTGGTGCCGCGCGCACGGGAGGCGGTGTGCGGGAGCCAGGTGGCGCGGCGGCTCGGGCCGCAGCAGTCGGAGCGCACGGCGTCGGGGGGAGGCCCAGGCTCCATCGATCATGGACCAGAGCCACCGAGAGCGCATTTGGGTGGGCCGACCCCCGGGCGATGGCACGCCCGAGCGTCATCCGGGACAGGACGATGCTCAGGGGTGCCACCGCCCAGGGGTGGCCCCCCTCCCCCCCTCAATGCCTGCCAGGCCGCTTCCGTAGCCATTTTGGCTCGAGCCATTTGGGCTCCAACACTTTGGTGTCAAGTGAAGCGTGCCCTGGTGAATGGCGCGTATCTAGGTACCGAAAGCCACAGGGTCGCGAGCCAAATGGCCGCTGATATCCTGCGCTTCGAGTGCGTGCAGATCCAATGTCCAACCCACTGCAACTACCTTGGCATGTGCCCAGGTGACTCTGATGCGAAAGTGTACGGTGCGGAGGTTTGCTCTTATTGGGAGAATTATGCATACGTGTCTTTCCAATCGGTTGCTCTTGGCAACTACCTCTGCGTGTGCCCAGGTGTTTCTGATGCGAAAGTGATCGGTACCAATAATTGTTTGGCCTAGGAACACTTTAAGGTAATCGACCAAGAAGATGGATACGTTTCGCTCCAATCGGCTGCTCATGGCAACTACCTCTGCATGTACCCAGGTGACGATGCGAAAGTGGTCGGCACCAAAAACTGTTCGGCATGGGAACGTTTCAAGGTCACAGGCAAGAAACGGGAAATGGATGTCCGTTCTGGACGCTGGTATTCTCATTACCGACACTCCGTCTTCGCCACCATTGCAAACGCCAAGGTTTTGGGATGTGAGAGGACTAGGCTTGTGCAAGTAAAACCTCCTTTAGTGTCCTCGGACCAATTTGGAGGTGGCGGCGCTGATGGTTGACAGATATGATGTCTACCGCCAGAAAAGGGCGCCTTTGTTTGATCATGCCGGAGTAGAACGGATCACCTACGACAGCATCACCACCTGCCAAGTATCGAAGGATGAGTTGGCAGACATGCTCGCAGTCTATTCAGACAAGGGACATTGCGCTATCGTGACATCTTGCGCGGCGCCTCATTTCGAGGACGTCGAGGGTATCGTCGCAACGCACAACCTCACAGCAGGTCGTCGGACACTGCAGAAGGTTCTCATCGACTGGGCTACAGCCAGAGACATGTACAAGAACCCGAACAGGGATTGATAACACCATCGGGGTCACTCGCATTTTCTCAGTAGTCGCCCCCTCCCGCACGCCAAGCCTAGGCCTGGCGCGTCTAGACAGTAGATGGGGCGTTGGCAGCAGCGGACACAAAATGCCTGCCAGGCCGCTTCTCTGGGCAGCCCGAAGGTGCCTGCCAGAACGCTTCCCTGATGTGTCCGATGGTACCCGCAAGTGCGCGCCCGAAGGCACGCTCAAAGTACCTTCGGGCTGGCGCCGAAGGTGCTTCCAGAGCGCCCTCGGCAGGAGGCACCTCCAGCGTGCCTGCTTGCCGATGGGCCCTCGGTGGCCGTGGCCCACGCTTCTCGGTGGCCGTGGCCGTGGCCCTCGGTGGCCGTGGCCGATGGGCCCTCGGTGGCCGCATCCCCTGCCCACCAGGAGCGGAACGAAGACGCGCGCGCGCGCGAAGCTGCGCGGAGTGCCGAGAGAGAGAGAGCGCCACGTGCTCGCGCCCGCGGCGCGAGGGCGGCGCTCCTGGCGCGAGGGCGGCGCCGGGCACCTGGCGGGGGGGGGGCACGCTCGGGGGCGCGGCCCGGCGCGCGCGTCCGCTCCGGGGGCGCCCCCGGCCGCCCTCGGACGGGCGGCGGGCCTCCCCCCCTCGGCCCCCGGCGCGCAGCCAGCGCGCCGCGCGCGCGGCCCGACGGGCGAGGGCGAGGGGCGAGTGGCGAGGGCGTGGGGCGCGAGGGGGCGAACCGACGAAGCCAACGACGACGAAGCCACGACCGGGACGAGACGCCGCCGAGGCCGTGGTCTTCGAGCGCCCCGCCATAGGTCAGTGCAGGCGGCGGGCTTCAGCACGCGCCGGCGCCCTGGCCGCAGGCCGCGCCAGACTCGGCCGCGCCTCCACGGAGCGCACCCGCCCTCCATCCGTGAAGCTGTTGCAGACTTAGACGACGAGTGTGCTCGGCGCCAAGGCGACAGCCACAGTCTGAAGATGACCCGCCCTCCATCCGTGAAGCCGTGGCGAATGTTCAAGCTTCAGGAGCATCGGCGGCGAGGAAGTCTCTGGGGCGCGCGCTCTTCGCACGATATGTGTGCTCAGGTGCCCCTCGGCGGCCTCGCTGCAGGCGGCCAGAAGCCGCAGCAGGGAGACCAGTGAGAGGGCAACACGAAAGAGAGGCACGATGTGGGCGTCCGTTGAGGAATGTGCCCAGGAGGCTTCAGACCCTGGAGGATTCCTTCTCTGATGAGGGCGACGATGATATATCCATGGACGAGCGCCTCAACTGGAGTTCCACCGGCTTCCAGGCCCTGGATTCTTCATCCAATGGTTCCTTGGCCAATGCCCTCGCCGCAGGCAGATCGGAAGACTGGCGCCCTCGACGCACAGACCGCTTGAGGCTGCGGTGGTGCTTGCGGCGGGGACCGAGGAGGGGAGCAGAGCGCAGCGCGCGGCGGGGCGGAGCCGGCGGCCAGCGGCCATCGGCCCCGCTGAGGGAGTGCCGCGCGCCAGGAGTCGCCTTTGCTCCTCGGCCCCCTGGGGCGGCCCTTCCTCTCCACCCCCCTCCGCCTCCTCCGCCTCCGCCTCCTCCCCCCTCTCCTCCGTGGCCTTCCATGTCGGGTGTGGCGCAGCCCTCGGTCAGAGTAGTATTCCCCAGTCGTCGGGAGGGATGCGCACTGATGTGGCGTTGCGGGGTCATGCCGTCTTCGGGGCTTCGGCACCGAGTATGGGGTGGTTGCGCTTCGCTTTGGGTGCGTGTCCCGATTGACTCTTTGGGTTCGCAGAACTGTCCAAACGTGTCCTCTTGCTCCTAACTATCGGGATGATCCTGCCGCTCATGATTCGGCCTTTGGCCCCTCCCGGTCTTGCTGGGGCTACGACGGTGGCCAGGTCGTTCCCTTCGCTTCTTCTGCCTCTTTTTAAAATGTCCAAGCGCGTGCCGCTGCATGCGTTTGGCTCAATTCGGTTGTCAGGACAAGACGCGACTGGCGTCTTAGCGGGAAAAGGTGCGCGCGCTTTTCTCTTCGCGTGCGTATCACCTCCCGTCTTTGCATCAACTTACCGGGTAATCATTGCCACGTCGCACGGTATCGTTAGGGACCCATATATATACACAAAATCCATGCGAAGGGATCCCATGAGTTAGGATCTCAGAGCAAGGGAAACGCTCGTTCGTCAGGGAATGTCCCAAGAGATACCAGCCGAGGCAAAGGCGTCGAGGGAAGAGACCTGGTTGAAACTGCGCCTCGAGAAGGTCCTCCCTGTTCAGCGATTTCGTGCTTCGGCGAGTAGCTGGGGGGAAAAACGCGGGAGAAAACCTGGGGCAGAAGAGGTCGTTTCGCGTGCTCCAATTGAGATTGCCGACCCTGCTGACTTACACAAAGACGCATTGGCAAACGCCGGAGGAGAGTTGAAAAGCTGGCAGGAGAACGTGTCGAATCGTCTTGAGATCGCTGATGCGATGAGGGTGGCAATCGAGGAGATGAGCGCGCTCGATGCGTGAACATTTGTTTTCGCCGGACCAAGAGGCCTGTCAACGTGAGGGGAAGTTGCAATCCGGACAGGGGTGTGAGGGACGTCGTCGTGTAGTTTTTGAAATCATTTGGGCTGCAGGGCGAGAGACAGACAGCGGAGGCGCACCGCGCCGGGAAGACGAAACTGGATGAACATGAGGAGATTGTCATTCACAGACTTCAAGCGATGTATAGAAGGGTTGAACCATTCGAGTTCGAGTATATCAACACAGAGGACTACATGTTCCCAGCGCATTGCTCACAGGCCTAGGAGAAGATATATATGCGCGCGTCGGAGGACGCGAGCTTGTTCCGGCAATCATTGTGCGAGGCGGGGCAGACGCGACTGATGAACCGAATGCGGTGCATCGTGTTGACGCCGAAGAGGCGTGGGGCACTCGCGAGGATACAACCGTGTTTCCTGCGAGAAATAAGAAAGGTTTTTGGCCCAGATCGGGCTGTCCTGCCGTTCCAGATGCGACATGGCGCGAGGTTCGCAGGGGCGGACAGAAGGGGGGAACGGTGGCCAATGGAGTAATCTTTTCTCGTGAGCAACGATCTTCGACAAGAATCTGGGCGATCGCCGCAAGATGCGGGCAGCGTCATCTGGATCGAGGTGCTCACGTTCCCCAAGAGGGATGGGATACGGGGGCCCGACGGCAGTGACGCGCCTAGCCTGGGCGCAAGAATGCGAGGAAAGCAGGCCTGCGGCATGCTCTTTATCGTTCATAAGAAAGGTCAGGAAGCTCATGCAGGGGATGCGATTCCATATCCGTGCATCTGCCACCTGGCACGACGGGAGCGATTCAGAGGGGTGGCGTGATCAACTGGTGCCCGGATCTGTGCGCGTTAGTCGACGCTGATCCGAATTCTCCCGACTTGGGTCCCTTGAGTGTTTTCGATTGGGACGTGGAAGACCCCGTGAAGGCAGTGGTGACTGACCTTGGAAAACGTTGGGTCGTATGGGCCGAACACCAAGTTCTCATTATCGGTTGCGATGCGATCGCGCGGATGTCTGGGCAATGCCAGCTCCCCTCCGAGCAGAAGATCGACATGGGCAGGGAAGCTGCCATCGAGTTCGGGAACGCTCGTGGTGCGAAGTGGCCCGAGAAGGCTCTTAAGGGTTTCGCGGGTATTGCGACAATGATCCGCAGCAGACTGGCTGAAAGAAAACAGAAATGCTTCGTTCGTTCATGTGTGTCGGCCTTTGGCTGCTCGGGGGCCGTCTTTCCACAGGGGGGGTAGGACATGTTGTGGATATCGAATGTTTCTCTGACGCACAGTAGGCTGTTGAGGTTCCTGGGATTGATTCTAGCTTGCATACGCGTGGCCGCGGCTGTTGCCCAGCTGTGCTTCTGGGGGGCCCTTTTCGGGGTAAGATCGCGGATGGTCTGTGAGGGGTGGGATAAGCCTGACTATCAGGAGCGCTGCAAGCGGTGCCGCCTTGGAGAAAAGTGGTGGCTTGTGCGCCGCACATCACGTGCCATAGTCGAGGCTTCGAAGAGGTGTAGCAACCCCGACGGGATATTCGAAAGGGGGGAAGGAACCGTTCTGCAAACATGGGGACGCTCGGCTGCAGGATGTCTATGAAGAGACGTGGAGAGGTAGGCGGGCCCTGGAGGTGGCGTCTGTCCTGGATCAGAACAGTGTTGAGCCTGGAGAGAAGAATCTGGACGGAACTGATGCATATGAAGCGATTGCAGGTGTCCTTGGCACTTTGCGTGTCCCCACCAGACCAGCCAGACACGATCGGAGGCTGTCTTGAGGCCTTGTGGAGGCTATATCGAATTGTGCGTTGGCTAGAGACTGTCGGAGACTATCCGGAACCATGCCTAACAGGCTTGGGCCATCTTGAAATTGTCTTGAGGCCGCTTGGAGGTTTGTCGGAGGTTTTCTGGAGGCATGCTCGATCTCCTGGGACCATCCTGCGGGTAGGAGGCGGAGGAGGAGGAGGAGGAGGAGGGAAAGGAAGAGGAAGAGGAGGAGGCGGAGGACGATGAGGAGGAGGCGGAGGAGGAACAGGAGGAGGAGGAGGAGGGGGATGCTGATGATGATGATGATGATGATGATGATGATGATGATGATGATGCTGATGATGATGATGCTGATGCTGATGATGATGAGGAGGAGGAGGAGGAGGAATCTGAGGAGGATGAGGAGGAGGAGGAACAGGAGCAGGAGGAGGAGGACGAGGAGGAGGAGGAGGAAGAGGATGATGAGGAGGATGAGGATAATGACGAGGAGGATGAGGGGTGGAGGTGTAGCAGGAGCAGGAGGAGCAGGATAATGATGAGGATGCTGCTGCTGCTGGTGATGATGTTGATGATGATGATGATGATGATGCTGATACTGATGGTGATGATGGTGCTGATGCTGATGGTGATGATGACGCTGACAACGATGATGATGTCGCTGATGATGGCGATGCTGATGCTGATGGTGATGACGACGATAATGATGAAGATACTGCTGCTGATGATGATGGTACTGATGATGCTGCTCATGATGCTGATGCTGATGATGCTGATGATGATGCTGGTGGTGATACTGCTGGCATTGCTGATGCTGATGATGGTGATTCTGCTGCTGCTGATGATGATGATGCTGGTGATGGTGGTGATGATGATGATAGTGTTGCC